CACTAACCAACCTGCCTCAACCCTAGCCTTCTCCATCCTTTGGAGATCTTCCTTGGTCCTACTCTCAAGGCTCAGTGAATTCTGTGATTCCAGGATAAGAGGTAGAAATGCCTGGCAAGAGCATGCACTGGGAGGCCATTAGTTGCTGGGTCAAGGCCCCTCCCACTCACATGGTACCTGGGCTTTTAGAAGAGGTGATGAGAAGTTAGCTGTGAAATGAGCATGGGGGTAAGAAGAGAGTGCCGGTTATGGAATCAGGAATCCTAGGTCTGAGGTCAGACTCTGTGACGTATGAGTTATTGGATCTGTGGGGACTCATTTCATATCTTTGAGCCTCATTTTCCCGGTTGATGGTGCCACTGATGTTTGCATGGCACCTTAAGGTTCATAACGTGCTTTAGAGACATTGTCTCATTTGGGTCTTACTCACTTCTGTCCCATGACTTAGCTCAAACCCACGTTCTGCAAGATTTGATATTTATCTTGTCTATATCTTGCTTACTAATTGCATGTTGTTTCTCCCATTAGACTGGAGTGCCTTTTGAGCAGGGATTGTCTTTTGCCTTTCTTTTTTGTCCTCAGTACTTAAAGTAGTGAATGGCACATAGTAAGCACTTAATAAATGACTTAACTGACAGATGGGAAATTCTAGAGGGTAAGTCCAATCAACGTCCCCGTCATACAGATTAGAAAACTGAGGTTCAGATGTTCAACAACACAGGTAGTGAATGTCAGAAGTGGGATAAGGAGAACACTGAACTTGAATATTGACTCTATTTTCCACTAACCTTCATGACTTTGAGATTGTACCAAATGGTCACTTCCTTCCTAGGTGGCTCTAGGCAAGTCAGAATGTCATGGAATCACAGAATTTGGAGTTAGGAGAGGCCTTCACTGCCGTTTAATAATACCTATGCCTTGTACAAGAATCTCCACTAGAATATACCTAACAAGGTCATCCAGACTCTTCTTGGAGATCTCCAATGATGGGGAGCTCACCACCTCTCTAGACAGTCCTTTCTACTTACGGTCAACTTTGACTACTGGGGAAATTTTTCTGATATCCACTCTAAATTTGCTTCTTTGCAAATTCTACTCCTTGGTCCTCATTCCGCTCTGGGAACCAAGCAGAATGAGGCTAATTCTCTGTTGCTTAAGATAACCCTTCAAATACTTGAAATTGCATTGATGTTTCCTTCCAGTCATCCATCTCTTCCCCATTTCCCTTCAGCTGACTTAGCCTATTTCCTCATCTATACAACAAAAATAATAAAGGCAAGAGAAGAGCATCTGCTCCAGGGTTGCCTTGAGGCTGTAGTAGATAATGGATGCAAAATGCTTTGTAAATCACAAAGTGCTACAGAGATGTGAGCTGTTGTCTTCACCAGCATCACCACTGGCATCACCTCTGGCATCACCAGCATCAACAAAGTATCATCTAACTGGAAAGGTCATTTAAGTGCATTGTGTAAACACTCTCCTCTGAAAGCAGAAGGAAGTTGTTGTTGAGAATGGTAACAGCTGACTTTGATTTAAAAAATTTAAAAAGTACCTTACGATAGCAAAATACTTCACCTTCCTTGTTTCATTTGGCTCTCAAGCAGTCTCGTAAGGAAGGACACTATGGTTTAAAGGATAGAGCTCTGGATCTGGAGTTAGAAAGACCTGAGTTCAGATTTAACCTCAGATAACTGCTTGCAGTGCGTCCCTGAGCAAGTCACTTAACTTGTCTGAATCCCAGTTTCCTTATCTGTAAAATGAAGATTCATATGATCACCAACTTCTCAGGGCTTTTGTGAGAATCATGGGGGAGCAGATATAAAATACTTGCCAAAGTTTAACATGCCATTTCAATGCTAGCTATTATTGTGATATGGTGAGAGCTGATGGTATTGCCCTCTTGTTGTTATGTAGGGAGAGTCTCGATGGGCACATAACAGGCACTTGTTCAGTGGTTTCTGAATCTTTGTGAGTCAATTTGGAGTTTTCTTGGCAAGGATACTGGAGAGGTTTGGCATTTCCTTCTCCAGCTCATTTTACAGATGAGGAAACTGAGGCAAACAGGGTGAAGTGACTTACCCAGGGTCACACAGCTAGCAAGTGTCTGAGGCATGATTTGAACTCGTGAGGATGAGTGTTAATGACTCCAGAGCCGGTGCTCTATCCACTGTCCCACCTAGCTGCCCATACTAGGCACTTAATAAATGACTATTGACTTGATAAGACCTATACATTTCTGACCTGAACGTAAATCTTAACTCTACTACACTGAGGTCTCTTCCAAATCTGAGATTTAAGGAAGTGATGGCTACTGATTTCCTGCATGACTGTAACTTAACCATCTCTGGAAATTGAAGTCAGTCTGATAGAGGGATTACCTGAAGGGTGTTAGAGCCAAGCAACATGACTTCTTCTGTAAAATGAGGGGTCTGGATAGATAACCCTTAAGGACTTCTTATAGCTAACAGGCCCCAGGACATGTTTACAAAGACTTGGAAAAATGGACATGATGGCTAATCCTTAATTAACCAGTAAACCTGAAATTTCACCCTCCTACCCCCACCTTGCAGCCATGGGTTTTTTCCTAAGACAGCTAACAGCTCCTGGTTAAAATCCTGAAGGAAATAACAGTAATCAGAATCCCAATGGAGCTTTTTCTTTATTCTAGTATTTCAGAAGCTGGATGTTAATGGGCTTGAAGGAGGTGCTGGGTGGCAGGTGTTTCCATCTGAGAGTATTCACTGATCTTGACTTCCTGGTACCCCTGGAAATGTGCGAATTTCAGCTCCTGGAGAAATCCAAACACTTTCCTTTATTAATGGGCCTTAATAGCTTATAATGAAGGCACAGCTCAGCAGTGAAAGAAGGGATTAGCATTTGTTTGAAGTTCAAACACAGGATAAGGAGTGGATTTGCTAATTGTTTTTCCCTGCTGGGGATATTAGCTGGGATTCAGTGACAACATATATGCATATATTCTCCCATATGGTCTATGCCTAAGAGATGTCTATAAAATGAAGTCAACTCAAAAGTCAACTCAAATAGAGCTAGACCAAGATGAAGAAAATTCTGTAGAGTGTCAGAGCCAGGAGAGACCATAGAATATTGAATTCAGAAAGTTATCTCTAGAAAAAAAGACATTGTAATAGGCAACACAGAACATTAGAGCAGAGACGTGCCTTAGAATGTAGAAGTCCATCACTAGAAGGGAATTTAAAACACAGAACACTGACTCTGAACTGAGGAAAGGACATGAGAACATAGCCTGTCAAAACACAGAACACAGGATTCTAGAGTCAATGCTGGAGTGGGGGAAATGGAGCCAGTAAGAGAACCCAAATCCTTTAATTCCTCACTTTATATTCTTGGATAGAGAATGCTACATATATTGTCAAAAACCTCAGGTACAATGGCTTATTTTCCAGAGTTGTTTCTCTTGGTCCCTCTCTCTCTCTGTTCTCTCTGACTCTCTGCCTCTCTGTCTCTCTCTCTCTATCTATAGAAATATATACATACATATATATATATATATAATGTGTATATCTATATATGACTATGTATATGTGAATATATATGTACATATCCACATACATACATATATATACACCCACAAATGTGTCTGTCCTCTCCAAACATAAAAGTGTATCAATGTACAAAGCCATAGTTATATGTGACCAATCCCCAGTAATATCTCCCTTTGCATTCTGCATCATATATGTTTAGGGCAAATATGCCTGCTAGGCTATGGCTTCTATAGGAAATAAGATTTGAATTCCTGTGATCCCTTGCCCCTACTTTGAGCACAGACTCCAGGGGATAATCACAGGAATGCTAGGGAAATTTGAGCAGATTTTTATCCCTTCTAGCCATGAAGTCTTTCTGGATTTGACTATGGCTATGTTTGAACAATAAAAAAAATCATAGTGGAATAAATCAATTTTTACAGAAAAAAGTAATGAATAGAGTAAAATGGCCATCTGGTATTGTTCAGTTGTAGAAGAAAACCCTGGAGCTGAAAGGTGCTGGTGCAGGTCAGTTGGACCAAGTCCTTCACCCAGAGGAAAGATGGACACACAGATGGACAACTAGAATGCCTGATGAATATTCGTGTTCCTTGAAATCCCAAACTTGACTAGCCTAGATGTACAAGAGAAATCGTGATAGTGAAAATAGTACTAGAATTGGACTAAGGAGAACCTGGGTTCAAATCACCATTTCTGGCACTAGCTGTGTGAGCCTTCATTTCCCTGAGCCTCAGTGTCCTCATCTGTAAAAATAGGATCATAAAGGCATCTTACTTAGAGGGTTGTCATGAATCTTAAAGTAGATTGTATCTGTAAAGTCCTTTGAAAACCTTAAAGCGTGACATCAAGTTTAGATTCTTTTCATCCAACCCTGACGTTTCTCTTATGACTTCTCACAGAATAAAAGTAATTTGGTCAAGTTCACACAAAGAATCACTGGCAGATACAGAACTGAAATTTTGGACTCACAATTTTGATTAGGGTTAATAAAACAACAGTCAAAGACATTGATCCCAATCAGATTTGTTCTTATTCACTAAAGAGCTCAAAAGATAATGGCTATTCCATCTCCATCTGATGACTCTCTATCTTGACCCATACCTCTCTTTACCCATAACCTAAATCCCTAAATGTGATAAAGGACATCTCCTCTCATTCTGTTCTCAATGGGAATGAGAAAAATCCCCTGCCATCTGTATGATAAGCCTCCTTACACCCATGTTCAATGCACCAGTATTTACATAACTAGATACATACATATATGTATATATGGAGATACACGCATGTGTGTTCGTATAGACATATATACATATATATGGAGAGAGAAAAAGAGAGAGAGAGAATGGTTATATTAGTGTAGGAGAAATAATGTTTTATTAAGAGTTTGAAGACCAAGGCTAGAAATCTGCCTCTGTCATTTGCTACCAGTGTGAGCCGTCCAAGTTACCTCACCTGTCTATTCTTCTTCTTGTGCAGCAAAATGAGTGATTTAAAGCACATGACCAGAGTCCCAGAATTTGCAAGCCAGAACAGAAGTCAGCAGCCATTTTGACCAACCCACAAATGAACAATCTCTCCACAATAACATCCACTTCAATGGTCGTCCCACCTCTGCTTTTGAAGTTTTCCAAGGAGTGGAAGCCCTCACCCTCTTGAAGAAGTCCATTCCACTTCTGGGAAGCTGTCATGCTTAGGAAGGTTTGGTGGTGGTGGTGGTTGGTGATTTGCTTTGCTTTGTGTTCCTGACACAACCAAGGCTAAATGCACCTCCTTGTCTCTTCTTCCCTGGTTCTGCTGGGGAGTTGAGGACACTGTCATGTCTCCTGTGTTTTCTCTTCTTCAGGCTAAACCTCTTCACTTGCTACAACCAATTCTTATATGATATGGAATCAAATTATTTCACCACCTCCCCACCCTTCTGCCTCCCTCTTACTTATCGTCTTCCCCCATTAGAATGTGAACATTTTGAGAGCAATCACTGTCTCTTTTTCTGACTGTATTTGTGGCCATAGCACTTGTCAAAGAGCCTGGTACATAATAGGCATTTAATAAATGCTTATCACCTCGATGACCATTCTCATTACCCTCCCATGGAGTCTCTCTAGTCTATCCAGTTCAATTCTCAAACTGCAGTGCCCAGAAATGAAGACAGGAGTCTCCAGATGGGGTTTGAAAAAGGGAGAATTCAACAGGAGCATTCCTTCTGGACATGGTGCCTCTCAGTGAAGCTGAAGACCCCATTGGTATTGTGGCTGTCACAACACAGTTAACTCATATTGAGTGTGGAGTGTAATAAAGCTCCCAGGTCTTTCATCTATCTATCTATCTATCTATCTGTTTTGCATTTTTGATGGAGTTGTGAACTGATCCCAGGTCTTTTTCTTTTTTAAGAACAATTGTTGCTTCCCCTTGTCTTCCAGATTTAGAGCTATGATCCTGTGAAGGAGTACTGTTCTTGGATTCAGAAGACTTGGATTTAGGTTCCCACTGATCAGCCATCAGCTAAATTTACCTGTGGGTAGGTCACTGATCCTTTCTGAGCCTCACTGAATCCTCAGTTTCCTCTTATGAAAAATGTCTATCATACTACTTAAAGTCTCTTTCTCACAGGGCACACTGTGAGAAAGCTGTGTTGTAAAATGAGACAAAAATATCAACTGTTAATATGATTACTGGGAAGAATCTTGAATGAGGGTCTCTATAGCTATGCATATAGAAGAAATGTTCTCTTTTACCCCCAAGATCACCACGCACACACACACACACACACACACACACACCATAGATCTGGAGCTGGGAGGGATGTTAGAGTTCATCCTTCTCATTTTAGAGATGAGGAAATGAGGCCCAGAGAGGTCAGATAACTTTGGCCAAGGTCCCACCAATAGTAAGTGGCAGAAAGAGGATTCAAACCCACTTTCCTCTCCATTTTGCTCAACTTACAAAGGTAGGGGTGGGATGCGGCTTATGCCAACTGAGTTACTTGCATCCCGATGACTCCTTTCCTTCATGCTTTCCTTCTACCGCCAAGCATTCTATGACAGCTTTAATTGTGGATAATGAGCTGAGATGGAAAAACAGTATCCAGAGGTTGGTGCTCCCTCCAAAAGTGACAGGGGCCATTCCATTCTAGTCCCCATGGAGGAAAGTCGAACAACCTAATCATGCTAGAAAGATTTCCATGAAATCTCCCTCAACTTCCCCATAGACCACACTCCAGGCATGCCAGCACATACTAAAATGGGCCTTCTGCAAGGAAGTAGAAGCATGTGGGCATTAAGAGGTTTCCACCAATATCACTTCAAAGTGAACTTCATCATTATGTGGGCCCGCAGTTAGTCTGGACCCAGTGGCAGTGCATACAAAGTACTAATGGACAGAACTGTGTAGCATCTGTAATCAAACATGATTAAATAACACCGCCCCATAGAACTGTACTTTCACACTTGGAAAAAATAGGCTGAAAAAGTATTGCTACGGAAAAGCATGGGGAGATATTCAGGGTTGGGCACAGGAGAGCACAATACATGGGTTTCAGTATGCAGAGGGGAGGGAGTTTCCCTACAGGAAGGCACTTGTTGGCTGACTGATGGAAGCATCAGAGAGGCCTGGGAGGAGGTAGGTGAACCTGAGTGACAGGGACTGTGATGCTGCTCCTGATGGGGAGACAGGTTAGGTGCTGTGGGGTTCCACTCAGGCTCATTCACTTGGTGACCCATAATTATGAGGACATGCCAGGCAGGGAAATGCTGCAGCCAGGAACCTGGAGGGTTGTTGCCCTGGAAGAGAACATTCAGGATATGGAGGATTTCAGAACAAAAGCAGCACTAAAAAGGGGGTGGGGCACCAGGGTAAAGGAAGGGGTGTGGCCAAGACCTAAGCACCCAGAAAACAAACAAACCACCACCACCACCAGCAACAACAACAATTTTTTTTCCCTAGAAGACAACACACATATTTCTCAGTCTGTGGCCTGAGGATGCAACATAAGCAAAGAGCAGGTAATGATCCAGCCAGGTATAGTTATTCTTTCTAATGGGATTTTTTTTCTTATCCATTGACCTTTCAGATAATTATGAAGAGGACTGTGCTGTGTTCAAGGCAGCTTGGTGAAAGGGGAGGGAGGGGGATATATTTGGATTCAGAGGACTTAGGTTAGAATTCTGGGTCTGTTATTTACTGATTGTGAGGTTAGGATTGAATTACACCATCCCTGACACTCAGCTCACTCATCTGCATAATGAGGGAAGTAGGTTAGAAAGGAAATGAAAGTCCCTTCAACTCTACGACACCCTGTCTAACTCATTCTCCTTGGGTGCTGGGCCCATCCATCATTGGGTCTCTATAAATATTACTGTTGTTAGGACAGTTCCAGTCTTCCATATCTAAACAGCACAAGGCTGAAGTATTGGTATAGGAGAAGGACTTGGAGCAAGTTTCTAAACTCAGTCCTGACTGTCATTGGGACAAATCCTCTAATTTCTCTAGGCTTTAATTTCCTCAACTGTAAGATTAGAGGTTGGGGCTAGATGTTTTCTGCTCTCCCTTCCATCTCTGATTTTCTGTGTTCTATGTTTGAAGGTGAAATGAGGAAGAAAAGGGAAAGCAATCAAAGGAGAAAGATGTGGATGCACAAGGAGCTCCCTCAGTGACCAACTCATTTACAAATTTTTTAAAAGAGCACATTAAGAAGGTAAGAGACCAAGGAATCAAGGGTAGATATTAAATGTATAGCTCAATCCTGCCTAAACAATGTCAGGAGTGTTAAAACTCAGTTCCCATTGACAGAGAATGATAAGGACAACAAAAAGGGATTTTTAGGCGTATGGAGAAAAAGGCAGCTAGTTGACATGGTGAATAGAGCACTGGACTTGGGGTCAGGAAGATATGAGTTCAAATATTGCCTCAAGCACTTATTAGTCTTAAGATCTTGCCCACATTAATTAACTACTTTGAACTTCAGATTTCTTACTGGTAAAATGAGGGTATTGGATGAGATGGCTCCTAAAAGTCCTTCTAGTTCTAAACATATGGTCCTATGATCCAAGGTCTCTGAATAAGAGAGCTGTGGTTATAATACTACAAAATAAATTGAAGGCAGACTTACTCAACTCTTTTTGCTTCAATGATTTTCTAACAAGTCGAGGGATCCTAGAACTTGACAAAATAAAATAAAATGGTTTTTAGAGAGCTGATACCCAAGATAAGGGTCCACCTTGCTGCCCTCTATGATGTCATCATCAAATGCCATTTAAATATATTATTGGATACTTAAAGGATTGATGGATAATACAGATAAATGAATACAGAGTCATGAATACAGAGAATGAGTAAAGTGCCACAGGACTAAGTAAGGGTAAATGTATTACTATTGAGGTAAAGAAAGTGGATGTCACCCATAAAGTGAATTCTGATGAGCTTAATTTATATTCCTAGAAAAAAAAATAAAATGCCCTATGAAGGAGTTGGCTTGTGAGTATGTAGAAATGGCAGAGATGATAACTCAGGGTGAGTATGGCTTCATCAAGAGCAGACCATACCAGATTCAACTCATTTCCATTATTTGCCAGAGGAATGAAGTAATAGATTAATTAACCTAGATTTCATCAATGCATTTAGTAAAGCTTCTAAGGTTTTCTATGTAGACAAGTGTAGAAATGGGTACTAGGCAGTAATAGTATAGTTAGGTGGATTCAAAACACGTTTACTGACCATTCACAAAAAATAAAGTAGTTATGAAGGGGTCAATGTCACCAACTAGAGAGGTCCCTACTGGAGTACTCCAGGGATCTGCTTGTGACCTTGTAGGATTGAACATTTTTATCACTGACTTGTATGAAAATATGGGTGTCATCATTACAGATAATTTAAAGATTGTATGGAGCTAGGATATTGGATGAAATAGGCAGGAACCAAAAATAAAACAATCTTCACAGGCTAGAATGATAGGCAAATTCCAGTAAGAGAAAAATTGAGATCCATGTGAAGTCAAGTCTTACAGTTGAAAGAGTACAAATTGGAGGAAGCATCATTTAAAGGCAAAAGAGCTTGTGTTGCTGTTCTTTGGTGGATTGTCGAGTGTTACATGTGAATTAAAAAAAACAAACACCGTGAACCAGCTCCATTAAAAAAGGGTGAGCCTGCAAAAGCCATTGAGCCTGGCCTCCAACTTGTACATATGCCAAGGTTCGACTGCTCGAGAGACTAGGAATTGTCCTCCCCAGACATTAGCCTGCTGTGACATAATTAGAGTTAGGCTTCCCAGGTTTCTGCCCTCATTCCTCATTGCTTATTAGGCCATCATTTCATTGGTTGAGCCTTCCCCTCTGTCTACCTTACCTTGGTGGTGTCTCCCCTTTGCATTACATTGATACTTTGTTTAAAACTCTATATAAGTTTGCTTTCTGCATGGCTTGGGCCGTTGGATTGGAGTGAACAGCTTGTTGGCTGTCTGCCCACAGAGCTGGGGACGATGGGGGCTTCCTGTACTGTTTCCTGTCGGCATCTGTCTTCCTCCCAAGGCTGCCATCCCTGTTTGGCAGCCTCTCTCTTCAGAAACAGCTCTCTCCCCTTTTGATCTGCAAAGAAGTGTAGTGTCCAGAACGAGTGAGGAAAGGAAGCTGGAAGGGGCTTTAGAAAGTACTATCTAGATTTGACAGATAAGAAAACCGAGGCCAGGAAGTGGGAAGTGAGTAAATATGCACAGGTAGTAAGCGGCAGAGAAAGGATTTGAACTGTGCCTCGGTTAGTCAGAACATGTGAGGAGTGTGATGTTCTGTTGAAACCCATATCTTAGGAAGTCCATTGATAAGATGGAGACAATACAGACAAAAGTAAGTAGGATAATGAGGGACATCAAGACTATTGCTCCTAGATCTCTCCTTGGAACACAAAAAGGACGAGCCTAAACTCATCTGAATGATGACTTTTCTTGAAGACAGCTCTATGATTTTCCCAGGTGTTCTCTTCTCAAGAATGTCATATGGAAGAAAAACTAGATACATTGTCTTTGGCTCCAAGAATCAGAAGTAAGAGCAATGACTGGACATTGCAAAAAGACAGATCGAACCTTAATGACAGCAAAAATCTCCAAACAAAGAAACTCGTCATTCCACAAATGGGAAACATTCCTAGAGTCAGACAATGTTGAGTTTACAGACTATCTAATAGACTTGTTTGGTTCCTACGTAGTACATGATAGGCAAAACATCTGGAAATATAGGAGGAACCATATTATAGAGGGGATGAAAAGCCTGGGTAATTCATTTTCATTTTTGCCTAGAGGCAATAGGGAGTCAAAAATACAGTTTATTATCTGTTTGAGTATGTTCGTATACATACATGTCTGTCTATGTTTAATTTATCTTTTATTTATGTTCAGCAAGGAATGATATGGTTGTGGATAATGTATCATTGGAGGCAGGGAGATTTGATAGAGGCTATTGGAATTGAGAGCTGATATTCAAGACAGAGGTGATGAGTTGATCATTGTCACCAGGAGTGGAGAGAGTAAGAAGGGAGAAATGCCGTGCCTTCTCAGCAACACAGGAGAGAGAAGAATCAAGGACGGCTATGAGCTTTTAAGTTTGAAAAAAGACCAGAATATGGGAAAGATCGGTTTTAGAAGGAATGATGGAGCACTCAGCTCCAGGCATGCTGAGCTTGAGCTATTCTCATGCTTCAGCCCTGCCATTCTCTGTTCTCATATGAAGTCCTTTCCAATGCCCACATTCTTTTGTCCTGTGCTTTAAAGTACCACCCAATCGTGGTACTGTGTTCTATGTTCTAAGAACATTCTGAGCTCTTTTATACCATATTCTTTGTTCTAAGGTCCCTTCCATCTCTGAGTCCATTTTCTATATTCTAAGATACCATCCAGCTGTGAGGTTCTATGTGTCATGATTCCTCCTGGATTTTCTATTCCATGTTCTATGTCAAGGTCCTTCACAGCTTTATAATTCTATGTTCTATCTCCTAAAATCCTGTCCCCTCCCCAACACACCCCATTCTAACTTCCTGTGTTCTCTTGATATCTTTGAACATCAAAATGGTTGAGAACATGGCATTTTCATTCAGAGCAACTGCTTGACGACTCTTCTGGAAATCATGACACACATACCTGGCAGCCTCAGAAGGCAAAATAACATAGATGGACAAGTCCTATGTGAATCAATAAGATTGACTCTCAGACAGACTGAATTGTTCTTTGCTTGAAGTCACCCAGCTGCCTAAGGAGAGGAGAAGCAGCCCAGGTCAGGAACAAAGCAGGTCAAAGATCCTGTGCCAATCTGGGATTGGCCCATGTATAACTCCTGCACTTCCAGAATGGGCAAGGTGGGGAGATACAGGCTAAAAAATGTCTCACGTATTAACCTGAAATTATTTGGTTACTTGGGCAGATATTACAAAGCAGTGATCTTAGGGACATGCTTTGGAGTGGAATTGGATAGCCACGAATATGAACACCATCATCCTCATCCTCATCACCACCGTTTTCATCTGTCCCATTTCTTTGTTCTATTAAATGTCCAAGATAGGGAGGGGATTGTAGACTATGTCATAGAAGCATCATTTTAAAGAAGTGGGGATATTTAGACAACAGATGACCTGTGAGGAGGGGTGGGGAGGCATGATAACGATCTCTAAGTATTTTAAAGGCTGTCATGGGGAAAAGAAATTAGACTTGTGCTTCTTGGTTCCAGGGATTAGAACTAGTAAATACAGGTGGAAAATGCAGAGGTACAGATTTAGACTTGATATAAGGAAAAACCTGCCTGATGATTAGCACTGTCCAAAAGGAGACAGCTGTTTTTGTAAAGGCAAGGGCAAGGCTACTCTCCTCATTGGCAATTCAGACAGGGGCTCAGCTATTACTTCTTAGGTGAGTCGTAGTCAGGAATTCTTGCCTTGTTTAGATACAAAGCAGACAAGCTGCCTTCTAACATTCGTTCCAGATGAAAGCCTTAAGATTCTATCCTAGTTCTCAAGGAACTTACACAGTCTGCTGGTGAAATAGAGCACTCGTTTAGAGAACTGCTATATTAATTAGGATATAAGCTACTTGAGGGCAAGGGGTGTGCCATTTTTCATGGCTATAGACCTTAGGATATTACTTAGGATGGCAAGTTAGGGTGGCAGAGTTCATTGTAGTTACTTAATGTATGCTTGTAGATTTGAATAAAATTTAGAATGAGAGCTGAGGTAAAACACACACACACTCACAAACACACACACACACACACACACACACACACACACACACACACACACCTTAGGATGGGAAGATGGGAAATCTCAGTACTTGGTTCAATAAATGTTTATTCAGCGCTTATACCATTCCATAAACGGCCCTAGGTGCTGAGGACCCAAAAACATGGCGGAAGGAAATGGATCGTCCTGTTTGGGGAACGCGAGATAAGACATTTTGTATCCATGAAGAGCGAATGCAGGGGAGTAATGTGTATGCAAAGGAAAGAGTGTAGCCAGACTATGAATCAGACTTTTGTGTGTCAAGTGGAGAGTTTGAATTTTACTCTAGAGGCAGCACAGAGCCCCTACAGCTTCTTGAGCACAGGAGTGATGAGAACAGACCCTTCCAATACTAAGATACTTTGATCTCAAGGCTGAGAAGTTGCCAGAAAACATCTAAAATAAGTTGGGCAGCTGGAAGCAAAGTTACAATTTATGGATCAT